AAAGTTGATAATATTTGAGTAAAAAATTATTCAAGCATTATTCGGTAATTTTTAGTAATTAATATCTTGTTAACTATTGTGAAAATTGAAAAATGGTAGAGAACTTTTCGACTCAGTTTAGTCCGCTCTATCTACACAAAAGCGGTTGACAAAAACTTACGGGACACCTGTATATAATATTCTGATTCTTCAAATATTTTTTATGCATTATGAAGCACATATAAAATTATAACTAGAATTTTGTCGCAAATTATAGATTTAAATTATAAATAAAAATAAAAATATTGTAGCTTTGTTTCTAAAAAATAAAAATCTGCAAATATAAGTAAATTGTCTATATGAGTTTTTGCTATTGTTAGTAATGCATAAATAATATATTTTTATAAGACAATACTATAGATATATTATCAAAGTATTAACAATCGCGGAGGCTTATATAAGCGCGCGCAATTTATTTACATAAATTATAAATCTAATCGCCGATGTAGGATTCTAAAGTGGATTTTAATAAAAAATCAGTTTACTATCAGACTGCAACTAATTGTGTAATATATCGCTTGCAGCGTGAATGTATATCCGTCCACGTGGGGCAGGCGGGAGTACAAATCGGAAATGCCTGCTGGGAACTGTACTGTTTAGAGCATGGTATTCAACCCGATGGGCAAATGCCGTCAGACAAGATACTTGGAGGGGGTGACGACAGTTTCAACACCTTCTTCAGCGAAACCGGCGCCGGGAAACATGTACCCAGAGCGGTCTTCGTCGATCTCGAGCCGACCGTCGTGGGTAAGTGCGATATGATATTTTATGCAGCAAAAATAATTTCTTAAGACAACTCGATGACCGAATTTGATCTACCGATGTTCTTTTAGATGAGGTGCGTACAGGCACATATCGGCAACTCTTCCATCCGGAGCAGCTAATAACCGGCAAAGAGGATGCTGCCAACAATTATGCACGCGGCCACTATACGATCGGCAAAGAGATAGTGGACCTCGTTTTGGATCGCATTCGCAAGCTGGCGGATCAATGCACAGGACTCCAGGGCTTCTTGATTTTCCATTCGTTTGGCGGTGGCACCGGTTCTGGCTTCACGTCTCTGTTGATGGAACGACTGTCGGTAGATTACGGAAAAAAGTCAAAACTCGAGTTTGCGATTTATCCGGCGCCCCAGGTCTCTACAGCCGTTGTCGAGCCGTATAATTCGATTCTTACGACGCACACCACCCTCGAGCACTCCGACTGCGCGTTCATGGTGGATAACGAGGCCATATATGACATTTGCAGACGCAATTTGGACATCGAACGACCTACTTACACTAATTTGAATCGCCTAATCGGCCAGATCGTGTCTTCGATCACGGCCTCGTTGCGCTTCGACGGCGCGCTCAACGTCGATCTGACAGAATTTCAAACGAACCTGGTGCCCTATCCTAGAATCCACTTCCCTCTGGTCACCTACGCTCCCGTCATATCCGCGGAAAAGGCATATCACGAGCAACTCTCCGTTGCCGAGATAACAAACGCCTGCTTCGAGCCCGCAAATCAGATGGTCAAGTGTGACCCTCGTCATGGGAAGTACATGGCGTGTTGCATGCTCTATAGAGGCGACGTAGTGCCGAAGGACGTTAACGCGGCAATCGCGACTATCAAGACCAAACGTAGCATTCAATTTGTTGATTGGTGCCCGACGGGATTCAAGGTCGGCATCAATTATCAACCGCCCACCGTCGTTCCCGGTGGTGATCTCGCCAAGGTGCAGCGTGCCGTCTGCATGTTATCCAATACGACGGCGATTGCCGAGGCCTGGGCGCGGCTCGATCATAAATTCGATCTGATGTACGCAAAGAGAGCCTTTGTGCATTGGTACGTCGGCGAAGGGATGGAAGAGGGTGAGTTCTCAGAGGCACGGGAGGATCTCGCTGCTTTGGAGAAGGATTACGAAGAAGTCGGCATGGACTCCACTGATGGTGAAGGAGATGGTGCGGAAGAATATTAAAGATTAGATCGAGATTTCTATTCTTGCCTTTTCAAATTTCGTATATTTATACTGTGACGCTTGCCATTTATCGCTTATCGCGAATTTTGCCTGATTTTGTAGCGCAATTCGAAGCGATCTACTACGATGTTATTAACTTTACCCACTGCTTCTTATTCGATCCCGATCTGATCTTCGTGGAACTTTTTGACAAGAGGAGCGTATTCGGTTCCTTACAATCTGTCACTTGGTATTGCTTGAAGAAACAACTACTGAAAAATATAAGCACATCTAAAAATACTTTCTTGTGTATTTTGTTGTAATATTATTTATATATTATATCAACCATTATACAATAATAGATTGCATTAATATAAGTCTTCGATCATACAATTATTATCGATCATTACATGATACGTGAATATAAGTGAAGGATGAAGAGGAGAGGAGGCGAGAAGAAAGTATACATGGGCGAATATATATATTTCTTCGTTCACAGATGTGTCATAGTCAAATCGATGAAGCACGTGTGACCTCGCGATGAATCGTCGTTAGAGGAAGAAAGCACGACGTGCAAATTCGATTTCATCACGAGCTCAGCTCGCAATTATGTTGCACTTTAGATATAATGCAGCGATGGTAATAGCGTTGATCTTAATAATAAAATTATAATAATAGTAGTGATAATATTAATAAAATATTTTGATAATAAACTAAAAAATAATAGTGGAAATAATAATCACGGTCGTCAACATCAATCTCGATAAAAACAGTGCCGAATAAAATATATTAAAATTTCCATCTCGCGCATGCATTCGATAAAAACAAAAAAACTTGCAAGCCAATGTGCATGTGCGCTTTATTTCGTTCTCATATTATCTATTCTAGTCCTTTTCCAGCCATTTCGAGCATGAATGATTCATAATGCTCAAACTGTTAAAACAGCACTATATATCCTCGTTTACATATACTCGATCGGTTCTATGTATAACACGACTGGGTGTTATACGCAGATATACATACAGTTATACATATGTTATATATAGATATAACGTCGACTTTATTTGTACAAAACACACGTTGTATAAGCGGTCGATCATTAATTACGGATAAAGAACGTAATCATTAGTGCTCGAATTATCAATTTGAACAACATTCCTCAACAGCTTCAACAAGTCAAAGAGAATTACGAATAATTGCAACGTTCCGCATCGCGGCTTCGATTGCTCTTTAAGTAATTTCTTATTTAATTAATGACTATATTGAAGACAACACGATTCTATAGGAAAGATATTCTTACTTACTTGGCCCAACCAAGTTCGACTTGTTGAAATTACTGCAAAAAGATGTTATTCAACAGCAAATGACGCGTGACGACCAAATCGAACAATAACTCAATTAATAAATCAGTAGATACGATAAGGATTGAAACGATCGAATGCTAAAGACTAATCGATTGACGAAGGTACGAAAGGCACGTTTTTACATATCAATGAATAATTAATTTGTAAAAGGAAAGGAAAAGCAAAAATGATTACACGATTTTGCACTTCTGTATGTACAACGAATATTTAGCATAATAAACTCCGAAATGTTTTAAACTATTTCGTTAGGTCGAATAGATGGATAAAATTGAAAATTTCGTGAAAGCACACGTCGCCGTACTTCGTTTCCACTTCAGTTCCATTCTGAATCTACTTTACATCCTTTTAATAGACATACCTAAGTTTACCGAATTGTTTGAATTTGGTAACAATACAAGCTGATGAATGTCGCCGTGAGGCATGACTTACTGTCTCAGTATTACTATTCCTTTTTATTCAGTTGACATAAAATATTATGTCGATATAAGTGCCAATCGATAGATAGTTTGTAATAAAGTTTTCAACTCGTTAACAATCGTAATCGATGGGCTATCGTACGGCACAAATTACTTTATACATATCACGAAGACGAGTACATCAGTCCGGGAGTCAGGCGATTTCTATTGTCCGGGATGCTTTTGATACAAGAGGACAGTCGTGAGATCCGTATTCTCGCAACGCATTTCTTTCGCACGCCAGCTTCAAAATCTAGAACACAGCCTTTCGCATTCACTTCTACTTCCTTTTTTCTTCGCGATAAAGCTGATTCAGTATCAGCCCAGTAAATCCACGAATCGTTCAAGATAAAATATGTTTCGTATTCGATCAACATTCGCGCAAACTTTACGCGCCGTGAACTATTGCCATCCCTCCGTTCTAAGAGAGAGAGATCATACGACATTTTTCTCCTAATCTAAAAATTACCAGTTACAATCAAAGAATTAAGACAATCTTGAGATAGAGGAAAAAAAATACAGTAGAAGCAAATAGCAACGATGACCATAATAGCAACAACGTCGACAACGACGGCGAAGATGACTATGATAATGGCGATGGCGGCAATGATAATGAATGATAACGATAACGATGACGATGATGATGATAATAACGAAGACAACGACGACGGCAGCGACGATGATGACGACGAGCAGAAAGAGGACGACGAGAATTACGACGACGACAACGATGAAGGCAACGGCAACGGCGTTGACATTGGCGAATAAAATAATAAAGACAATAATAATGATGACGCCTCTCTTTCTCTCTATCTGTCTGTCTTTCTTCGTCGCAATAGTATGCATATGTAACTCTTTATTGCGTTACACACAAACGGGATAGGAGAGGCAAAATTAAATAGCGGATTAAATACATTAGCGCGACGCTTAACAAATTAAAAACGTAAAAACATTAACAGTACAATATAGTTTCCTTATCGTAGACGTAATGCGATGGCAGTCTTGAGTCCTGGAAAGATGCTGTGATTGTTGCTCGTTCGTTTCGATTTTTCTTCGCGCATTCTCCTCCATCCATCTCCGTTTTATCTTCCGCCATTCGTCTGTGCTTCGTTTCTTCGTTACTCGTCGAATCTCATCCTTTATTTTAAACCGAGCTCATATCCGATCTTGAGTTTAAACTTGCATGTTCGTTTTATTTTTTACGAGAAGCTTTTGCTTGTGGCAGTGTCTGGAAATATAGATGTTAATTCAAGGTCAATACCGTTTGGTGTCTCGCTACGTTTCACATTGTTATAAATAAAAAAAAATATATATATATACATACTTATTTGTTCATTTACGCGAATGTAATTCTATCAAAAAACACGACTTGATCTTTGCTGCAGCCATATGAATAAAATTTAGCGCGAGCGCGTCTAGTCTCTAAAGGAAAAGCTTTTAATTTTTCTTCCATACCTTCAATGAGCAACACTCGGGATCAACAAACTAACCACGTCGACTGGGAACGATCGATTGAGCGAGCGAGTTGCTGAAATTATTCATCGAAAAATGGTACTCTCTAAAATTACAGTCGATATCATAAGAGAGGAAAAGTCTGAAAGAAGAAACAGCGACTCGCTCGATCGTATGATCGATTTGTAGATCATAGATTATATGAAACGCTTTAGCATAAGCATACTAACGGTCATAAAAATAACGACGTTTAACAGATCCATAAATATATTTGTTCGCAAATCTAAATAATCTTTACATCGTCAAAATCTAAAGACTCACAAGTAAACCTTAAGAAATGTCAAACGCCGATTTTTCTCAAAATTTTTAGTTGTTTCTTATGACAAAATAACAAGAAATCTGTCATTAATTTTAGCCCAAATTGCGTGTGTCTGTTAAAAAAAATTTTTTGTTATTCTTTACAATTACTCGATTTTTATATGTTTAAAGCAATATTTCTGACAAATAAATTTGTACCCGATTTTTTGAAGCTCGATACGCATATAGAACACCAAAATAATAACAATAATTATTAATAGTAAAGAAACGATATCTCTTGAAAAAACTTTTTACAGAAATAGAGTTGGGTGCTCATCTGGATTAACCTCACGGTATCCTAATTCAAAAATTCACTAACTAAACCGCTATTACGCAACAAAAAAAAAAGCTAGTTTGCCCCTTTACCTTATTATTTTCTTGACTTTTTATATTTTTTATATATTATAATTCTACGTATTATAATATTATATATATT